ATTTAAGGGAATTCATGGAGGCGTATGAGATAATTTATTCACGGTCCCACCATCCAAGCCAGCTCACCCTGTTCCTTATCCGCATAGATCTATCTCCCCCCTCTCTTCCCAATCTCGCCCTTCCCTGACCTAACTCCACTCACACATACACGCATGCACTCTCTCACACGCTCTCACAAACCCCACACGTCACAGGAGGGCATAGACGCCATATCGGACGTGATCTACCACATAGAGACGTACGACGTGACGACCATCCGCGCCAGCACGCCCATGTTCCTCATGAGCCGCAAGATCAAGGCGCTGGGCGTCAAGATGGTGCTCTCAGGCGAGGGCAGCGACGAGGTCTTCGGGGGTTATCTTTATTTTCACAAGGCGCCCAACAAGAAGGAATTCCATGAGGAGACGTGCCGCAAGGTGGGGATGGGTGGGGATGGGTGAGTAGGGGTAGGGATCCCTCTGTCTTTGGCGGCTAGCCCTACTTCCATAAGGCGCACAACAAGGAGTTCCATGAGGAGACCTGCCGCAAGGTATGGTGGCGAGCATGCCTCTAGGTATGTGCGGTTCGATCAAGGCGCTGGGCATGAAGATGGTGCTCTCAGGGGAGGTCTGATTTGGTGCTGGGGCTGTGGCTGGGGCTGGTGTGAAAAGAGGAACAGAAGGGGCAGGGATGGAGATGACTTTTGAGTCGTCTCATTAGTCACCTTATTAAGATGGTGCTCCCAGGCGAGGTCTGATTTGGTGCTGGGGCTGTGGCTGGGGCTGGGGCTGGTGTGAAAAGAGGAACAGAAGGGGCAGGGATGGAGATGACTTTTGAGTCGTCTCATTAGTCACCTTATTAAGATGGTGCTCCCAGGCGAGGTCTGATTTGGTGCTGCGGCTGTGGCTGGTGTTAGAAAGAACGTAAGGGGCTGGGATGGAGATGGGCCACTGGGTGGGCCATGGAAATCGCCTCTTACTCTCTCACACCTCACACTTTCTCTCTCCTCCCACCCTCTTCCCCCCCGCTCTCGTATCCCACAGTCTCTCTCCCCACTATCTCTCACCCGCTACCCCCCCCTTACTCCTATCCCCTCATTCCAGCTGAAGGCGCTGCATCAGTTCGACTGCCTGCGCGCCAACAAAGCCACCATGGCATGGGGGCTGGAGGCGCGAGTGCCTTTCCTCGACAAGGAGTTCCTGGATGTGGCCATGAGCATCGACCCCGAAGCCAAGATGGTACGTTCACGGATCCCCTTCTTTCCTTTCCGTGATGTTATCCCGAGTGCCTTTCCTTGACAAGGAGTTCCGGGATGTCGCCATGAGCATCGATCCTGAAGCCAAGATGGTATGTTGTCAGGGCGCAATCTGACTTTATTCATGTCATTCCCTGTTATAGAGCCAAGATGGTACGTTGTCATTGCTCTTTGCTTTCATTCCCCTGCCTTGGAGAGAGGTCCATTCCGTGGCATGGGGGCTGGAGGCCCGAGTGCCCTTCCTGGACAAGGAGTTTCTGGATGTTGCCATGAGCATCGATCCTGAAGCCAAGATGGTACGTGTTCTTTGTGATGTGTGATCCGCCTCTTCCCCTCCTGTCACCGCGACGCCGCCTTAGAGAGTGAGCCATGGCATGGGCATGGGCCTCTGGCCCAAGTGCCGTTCCTCCACAAGGAGTTCCTGGATGTTGCCATGAGCATCGACCCGACCCCGAAGCCAACATGGTACGCTCGCCGTGCGCAAGCCATCCATCTCTTTCCTTGATAAAGGCCTGTCTAACTTTCCTCGAGAAGGGGTTTCTGGAGGCCGCCATGAGCATCAACTCGACCCTGAAGCCAACATGGTACGTCTCTGATGTGCAATCTTGGACCCTGCCTCTTCCCCTCCTGTAACTGCCTAAGACATGGATCCCTAAGGTTGAAATGGCACGTCTGGAAGCTATTGCACTTGTGCCCTCTGTTTTAATCATTCTGTGCCTCTGTAGAACAAACTGGTCTGTTTCGGGGTAATCAGAACTTGGGTGCTGTCACTCTGTGAGGGTGACAGAGTGCCTCTGTCACTCTGCCTCTGTTCTCTCGCTCTCTGTCTCACTGTCCCTCCTCAGCTCAATTTCAAGAAGAGCGGCGTTCAGGATGCTAAATTGAGGCTCCATATAAACCCCGCTCCCCTCCCTCCACGACTTCTCTCCCCCTTGTAATTCCCCATCTCTCTCCGGCTCATGCAGATCAAGCCCAAGGAGGGGCGAATCGAGAAGTACATTATCCGCAAGGCCTTCGACGACCCCAAGAACCCGTACCTGCCTCATGTAAGCACACACACACCTCCCTGGGTAAGCACATCACATCCTCCCTCCCTTCCCTTCCCCCATTCATGCTTGCTTAATGTAAGCATCCCACCTTAGAAGGAGGAAATAGTTTGTACATGGTAGCAACTGTAACCCAGATAGAGGTACGAAAATTATTCCTACAGACGTTGACTTTTGAGTCGACTCAAACGTTCGTACCTGGCAACTGTAACCCAGGTAGTGGAGTGGTACTAGAATAATCCTGCAGACTTTGAAAACCTGGTACCCGCCTGCATTCATACCGGCTCCCGGCCCCCTTTTTCCAATCACAGTTGTCTCTCCTTCGCTCTCCCATTTTCTTCTCCGTTCGCTCCTCCCCACTTTCCCTTCTGCTTACCCCAGCACATCACGTACCGTCAGGAGAAGCAGTTCAGTGACAGGCTGGATCGACGGGCTGAAAGCGCATGCGGGGAACATGGTCTCGGATCAGACGCTCACGAATATGCCCAACATGTTCCCCTTACTCCTACTCCTGCTGTCCCCCTTATCAGCATATTCTTTATAGCCAGCAGAAGGAGCAATTCTCTGACGGTGTGGGGTACAGCTGGATCGACGGGCTGAAGGCGCACGCGGAGAACATGGTCTCGGATCAGATGCTCGCCAATGCACCCAACATGTTCCTCCTGCTATGCTCTCCCTCCTCCTTCCCTCCCCTCCCCTCTCCCTCCTCTCTCCACCCCCCTTCCCCTGCCCTCCTCTCCCCCTCTACCCACTTACCCCAGCACATCCTGTACCGCCAGAAGGAGCAATTCTCTGACGGTGTGGGCTACAGCTGGATCGACGGGCTGAAGGCGCACGCGGAGAACATGGTCTCGGATCAGATGCTGGCGAACGCGCCCAACATGTTCCCCATCAACACGCCCATGACCAAGGAGGCCTTCTTCTATCGCATGACCTTCGAGAAGCACTTCCCCCAGGTAACACCTTCACCCAGGTAACACATCCCCCAGGTAACACATCCCCCAGGTAACATCTTCCCCCAGGTAACACCTCCCCCAGGTAACACCTTCCCCTGGGACCCAGGCTAAGCCTCCCCCAGGTAATTCCTTCCTTCATGTATCACCCTGATCAGGTAACAACCCAGATAACACCTCCCGCTGGTTACAAACGTCCTCTGCTTTTCAATGATGGCAATGTGTTGCGGTGAGTGTTTATATTCAGACAGATTTCAGTCATTCACACTTCCCTCTTCCTTCATGTATCACCGCTCCTGCCCTTGTTTGTCCCCCTCTTTCTCCATACCATCCGCTCAGCTGTGTGCTCGCTTGACGGTGCCATGGGGAAAAAGTGTAGCATGCAGCACAGAGGCTGCAGTCAAGTGGGATGCGGCCTGGGCCAACAACATCGACCCCTCGGGCAGGGCTGCTTTGGGCGTGCATAATGCATCGTATGAGGGCAAGGAGGAGGAGAACGGCGAGAAGAAGGCTGAGGGACTGAAGGAGGATGGGAAGGAGAATGGGAAGGAGAATGGGGATGCTAAGGAGGAGGAGCCTGCTGCTAAGAAGGCCAAGACTGATGCTTGAGAAGATAGCTTGGAGTGGTGGTTGAAGTGCTCGATTTTGTGTTATTCTTTCTGGGTTGCTAACACATACTGATGGTGCTGCAAGCGCACCTATAAGGTTATCTGTAGGTGTTGGGTTTTGGTGTTTTATGCTTGATTTGATTTGAGGGTCTGAAGTGCTATAACTGCTGAAATGCTGGCAGAGTGATTGGATTATATACCGTGTTTGTACTGGTTTTAACGAAGATTGCGCGACGTAACCACCGACCGCAGGCGGGGTTGGCTCAGAAGTTCGTCTTCGTGGAGGAAAGCTGGTCTTCGCGCTCCTCTGACGAAGCGCCGTGATTTCGTAAATGCTCTCGTCATTCTACACAGCAGGAGGTGGTGCGCGGCGCAATGGGGAAATTCACCGAATGCGGAATTCCACGTTCGCCAATTCCGCGGGCAACTGGCTTGTTTTCTGGCTTTGCGCGGGTGGTGTGTGGCGCACCCTCCTCAGGACGACCCAACCCAACTTGACGAACGGAGGAGACCCCTTCCCATCATGCCCGCCATTTCGAAACCAGGCTGGCCTTGGCTGGTGTGTGTGTGTGTGCGCGCTCGAAGGGTTTGCTGCTGCTCACCCTGTGTAGTATTAGTGTGGAGTCTCAGTGCCGCCGTCAGCAGACCAACACTAATGTACGAAAAGTGGGGTGTAGCGTGGCGTGGTGGTGGCGGTGCGAGCGAATGCCGAAGAGTCACGGACAACCGAACGAACCAGGACTTTTGACCGCCGACCAATGTACCCCTACTAGCTCACACCGTTCTCCCTTCTCTCTCCCGTACGACTGCACATTTTTTGCGACGGCACATTCTTTGCGACAGCCGTCAAATCAGCTAAGCGCCTACTCAGTGGTATCTTCTCTGAAACATCACGAACAGGAAAGTCGTGCTTTCCTTAAAGGCCCTCCCTCGAAAGTTCTGAGTATTGCGGTTCTCCTCGCGATCTTTATAATTCCGGAATTGGAGCGCATCGAATGCATTAAGAATATTTATCGTATTTGACAATTAGTACTCCTGAGAATCTCCAGCATTTTCTTAGAAGCGTAATTTGCGCAAGCCGTCAGCAGCCAAGTCGTTACATATCCTTCTAGCGCAATTTGCGGGTGAACCGTGACCGTGATGACATCGGCATCCGCCATGTCCGGCGACCCCGCGTCGCATGTTCAGTCGAATGTTGAGGCGACTGTGAAGGATTCACGTAAAGGATACACGGAGAGATGCGACGTAGTACTGCTTTCGCACGGCGACCCAGCGACGTCGCGCAGCGATGATGCGACGCCACCCGCTTCGGCTCCGTCCGTGTGCTCCCTCGCGAATCCCGCGCATTCCAAAACCACACGCTTCACGCAAATACCTCCCCCGTGCGATGCCGCTACCGCACATTCCTTCCCTGTGTCAACGCAAACGGGACCCTGCACCACACCACTAGCTCGTACTCTCGCACGGCGCTCTGCCACTGCAGCCGTCGCCCTCGTTCTGCTCGTCGCTCTCCTTGCCACGCGTCAGTCATACCACTATCCGCGCTCTCCGGTGTCGCCTAGTCTCTCGCGGAGGTCGTTAGCAGCAGCAGGGAGCGGCGCCGCGTCTGGTTCGGGCGGGAAGCTAACTCCGGGCTTCGTTGCGAATATCACGGCGGGAGTGAAGGCAGTGACCGCGAGGGTGTACGCGATAAAGAAGGGCCGCGGTAAAACGAAGATGACGGATTCCTGCGCCAACGACTGCCTGTCTCTGGTGCGTCCCACCCGCCCCACCAGGAAAAAAGGATTCTCTTAATATGAGCCATTTCACTGTTTAGATTCGAAATTCGAACCCTCAAGGGTTTTGAATTGGACGCTCAAAACTCGCACAAACTCAAGAGACGTGCTCCGCTAGTCATCCCCCAGCCATTTCGTCGCCCCCCTCTGCGCCCCCACCCATCTCCGAGGTGACTTTTGAGTCGACTCAATCGTCATCCCCCAGCCATTTCGTCGCCCCCCTCTGCGCCCCCACCCATCTCCGCAGGTGGCCACCGCGTTGGATCATCTAGCTCGCGTGTCCAAGGCGCTCGTGGCGCGAAACAGCGCGAGTGACATGGCAATTCGTCCAAATCCCATCTTCTGATCCCCGTTCCCTTTCATCTCCTCAGATGACCACCGCGTTGGATCATCTAACCCGCGTGTCCAAGGTGCTCAAGACGCACAGCAGCGCGAAGGAGGTGGTCCTTTGCGCTAACCCCCCTCACCCTTCTCCCGCCTCTGCTCCCCATCCCCATTCACCCCCCCCAGAGGTGGCCACGGCGTTGGATCATCTAACCCGCGTGTCCAAGGCGCTCAAGACGCGCAGCAGCGCGAGGGATGCTCCCCCTGCCCTAACCCCCTCCCTCCTCCTCCCCTCTCTGCTCCGAACCCTCTTCCCCTCCCTTCACCCCTCAGATGACCACGGCGCTGGATCATCTAACCCGCGTGTCCAAGGCGCTCAAGACGCACAGCAGCGCGAGTGACGTGCCGTACTGGCTGACAGCGGCGCAGGATCAATTGACCACGTGCCTGGACGGGTTCCGAGAGTTTTCCCCTGCCACTCTCAGCACGCCGGCTGGAAAATCACTCCAGGTGAGGCTCAATCTGCTCAAGGCGTGTTGTAGCAATGGCAGAAATGCGGCACTGACTTGGCTGACAGCAGCGCAGGACCAGGTGACCACGTGCCTGGATAAGTTCCCAGAGAGTTCTCTTCCGCCACTTTCAGCACACCAGACGGAAAACCACTTTAGGCGAGAATCATTGGTGCAGCAATTTCAGAAGCACATGCTGGTTTGGCTGATGGTGCCACAGGACCACGTCACCACATGCCTGGACGGGTTAGAGCCTATTCCTATCCTCGTATCAAGAGAGCCTCATATCAAGCTCCCACTGAAAAATCCCCTAAACCCAAAACCTCTCGCTAGTTTTACCAGGCAAAAAGTACATTCTTGATATGAGGTTCTCTTGATACGAGGATAGGAATACGCTCTTAGAGAGGCCTTTCCATGGGTGCTCTGCTGGTGTCCCGCTCCCTGACATGCCCCCTCCTGTGCTGTGTTAAATCGTTTGCCTGCTTGCTTACCCTCTTCCCCATATCAGGCACATGGCAGACAAGTCAAGAAGTCTCTGGACAGAGCAATTAAATTGTCGCTTCACTCTGCATGACTATTAAAGCAACGTATGCATAGGAAAAGAGCCTACTTAATGATTGATGAAGATAATGGTTGCTTGGGTTTCTACCATATTAATGTGGCTTATGCAACTCAAGGAAAAGAAAGGACCAACTAGGATAGCAAAAACTATATATTTCTCCAACTCTTGGATCCATCAAGCTGCACAAAGCCTGTCAATATGTGTGGGCTATGAGCTTTCCCATGTCAGTATTTATCCTTCCATTTGCTAAGTTGGAAGTCATTATGTCTCCATATTGAGTCTGCACTATACGGTACTCATTTGCAGCCACACATCTATCAGCTCTACCCATCAGCGAGCACAAGTGTGGGAGTTTTGCTCAATTTCGTGGAATCGCGCTTGGTTTTATTTTTGTCACGTGGCATGTCTACGATCGCGCAAACCGCGATCTGTTTTATTTTCCCCACAAAGAGGCAAGGTGTTTAGGGTTGATGCCTCCCTAACGCATGCCAGGTCTAAATGGGTTTTTGTTTTGCCCGCGGGTATCTTAGCACATGTGACCCACTAAACTTCCCATGAAATCTGTGGTAACAATAAAACAGATCGCGGTTCATGCGCTTGTAGGCATGCCACAAGACGACAATGAAACAAAGCGCGATTCCGCGGAATTGAGCAAAACTCTCCACAAGTGTGGCCGCTGCTTCCGACGGGGCACGGCGAACGCATCGCACAACCCATTTTTTTTGCTGAAATGCGCGGTCCGATTTCGACCCACTTCCACCCCCGAATTTGGGACAGGAGAGTTCTGAAGCGGATCAGAAAACTTGCCCGCACATTCGCTGCCGTTTAGTGGACGTGACTTCCGCACCAATCGCAGGGGCGAAAATGTTTCGATTGTGGTGTGCTGGAAGCTTGCCTTGCTGCTCTGGTGCACTGGGCCACCACCACCCGCTAGCAGCGTCCGTTTACGTGCACATGAACTTTCACAGAGGCATCCGGTTTGCACTTGGTGCCCTTGCTCTCTTCTTGGATGAGAACGTCCGTACAAGAGCATCGTGATGCCAATTGTTTAAGAAACACATATGGACGAGTCTCAGTGTGCTTTGTAGAACCACCTGGTGTCTTGTCCATTTCGGGAATATCGTCCGCCTTGGCTTTCCGAGATCAGTAACAGCAACGCCGCCACCTCCTTCCCAGCCGCAAGCCATGGCGCTGGTTTCGCCGCGGACCGGCAGGCTTGCTTGGGGTGCGGTGGGCTTCGTCGCGGCTTTAATCGCCGTCCTTGCCACGTGTCATGCCGTCGACAATTACTACATCATACGCCCACCTGCGTTTTGCGCCGACACATCCGATCCGCGCTATTGCGTGGAGCAGCTCCGCGACGTGCGGCGGAAACTCGGCGTGCTTCCCGCGCCGACGAGTGAGCTCGCTCCGGGGCTCGTCGCGAACATCACGGCGGGAATGCAGCGGGTGATGGAGAGAGTATCCGCGATAAAGAAGAGCCGCGCTACAGCAAACATGTCGGGAGCCGTGACAACCGACTGTCTCGATCTGGTATTAAATCACTTCATAACCTCGACCTGTCCCGACCTCGCAATGATCCCATTTCCCTCATTACATCTCTCCCCTAGTATCATTGTTTCCTTAAACCGCTGAAGAGTTTCGATACGTCTCAAAACCCATCTCCCTGCCGTCCGCCCTCTTCCCCTCCCTCCATCCCTCTCCCTCCTCCCCCTCTGCACGTCCCCCTACGTCGTTACTGCAGACCGCCAACGCATTCTATCACCTCGCCAAGGCCGCCGCAGCGCTCAAAGCGCGCACGAACGACGAGGACGTGCCGTTCTGGATCACCGCGGCGCGCGACCAGCTCACCACGTGCCTTGACGGAATCTGGGAGTTTGCCGTCGACACGTATAAGTCGCACGCGGGAAAGTCGCTAACATCCCACGGCAAAAACCTCAAGAAATCGTTCGACACCGCCATAGCCCTCGCGCTCCTCGCCGCCGCCGCCCGCCGATCCGCGCAAAAGCCGCCCTCCCCGCGCCGCGAGACTCTAGAAGGCGGCGGTCCGGGGGAGCCTCCTTCGTGGGTTGAGGCGGGGATGTACGAGCGGATCAGGGAGCTTCAGGCGCGGATGCAGGGGGATCACGCGGAGGCGCAAGCGTGGGCGGAGCGCGGGCGGAAGCTTCAGCTGGCGAAGGTCAAGAAGTTAAAGCCGAACGCGGTGGTGGGGAAGAACGAAAAGTACAAGAAGATAAACGACGCGTTAAAAGCAGCTCCGAAAACAGGGCTGTACGTGGTGTACATCAAGGCGGGGACGTATAAGGAGAAGGTTTTGGTGAACCGGGAGGGCGTGATTCTGGTGGGAGACGGCGCAACGAAGACGATTATAACGGGGAAGGACAGTGTTGCTGGTGGATTCACCACGTACAATACAGCTACAGTCAGTGAGTACTACCAACAAGTGCTATCAATAATGTTTCTATGTCTTTGTACAGCTTTTTCTTGTAAGAACCACCTTTCCCGCTCCCGTTTCACATGCACGTTCCCTCGTGCTTACTCTTCCCGTTGTGCTTCCACTAACGGTTCACTGTCCAAGAAATAAGGCGTCTCAAATGGTGTCTTGGTTAGACGTCTATCCGAGCTAGTCAGTCAGTTGAGCTACTCCCGTCCCTGTCCCGAACCCCTGACACCGAATTTCCTCCTTGTTACCTGCCGTTGCCACTCAATCTCAGGTGTAAAGAAGAACTACTTCCAGGCAGCGGGGATAAAGTTCGAAAACACTGCAGGAATTCAGGGCAACCAAGCCGTGGCGCTGATGATCGACGCGGATAAGGCAGTCGTTTATGACTGCTCCGTTACAGGTTACCAAGACACGCTCTACACCCACTCTGGCCGCCAGTACTACAGAAACAGTTTCATATCCGGTATCACGGATTTTATTTTCGGAAATGCCGCTGCGGTCATTGACAACTGTACGATTGAGATGCGCGCCGGAAAATCAAACATCCCAATTACCGCGTCGGGAAGGGAGAGCGAAACGCCTACGGGGATCGTGATTCGTTACTCGTTTGTAACAGCGGAGAAGGGTGTTACAAATGGTTACCTGGGACGCCCTTGGAAGAAATGCGCGCGTACACTTTACATCAACACATACCTTGCTAAGGTGAGCTTGCCTTGACTCTTACCCAGATTCTTTTCCCCCTCCCCCCTTCTCACCCTCCACGCTCCCTCTCACCTCGTCCCACCTCACCACCCTTACGCATGCATTCCTTCACCCCTCCTCATCCCTCTTCGCCCCTTTCTCCCACGGCAGCAAATCAACAAGGAGGGATAGAGCACGTGGAACAGCGACAACAAGGGCAAGTGCGTCTACTACGTTGAGAAGGACAGCGAGGGGCTGCCTTCCCCCACAACCCTCCTCACCTCTTGCCACCCCTTCTCACCCTCCTTCAACCCTCTCTACCCCACAACAGCAAATCAACAAGGGGGGATGGAGCACGTGGAACGGCGACAACAAGGGCAAGTGCGTCTACTACGCTGAGAAGGACAGCGAGGGGCTGCCTTCCCCCACAACCCTCCTCACCTCTTTCCACCCCTTCTCGCCCTCCTTCACCCCTCACAACCCTCTCTACCCCACAACAGCAAATCAACAAGGAGGGATGGAGCACGTGGAACGGCGACAACAAGGGAAAGTGCGTGTACTATGCTGAGAAGGACAGCGAGGGGCCGGGAGCATACAAGCCGCGGGCGAAATGGGTGAAGCCGGGGCAGATCCGCGACGGAAAACCGTGGGCTCCTGAGCCTTTCATTCAGCTGGGCGAATGGTACGACACCAAGAAAGGAGTCATCCGGTATCCTCCTAAATAATAAGAGGAGTAAGAGCAAGGGGAACGGGGAGATTTAAATGGGAAGTGGTACAAGGGAGGGATCACCATGTGTTCCCATTGCAGAAAAAAGTATGAGCTGCCCGAAGCCGGCAAGCGAATGGGGCTTACGTTGCGAATAAGTGGAGTTTTGGTGTAGATGTGTGCCTCTGTTTTGTTCAGCGTGAATCACGTGGTGTGCATGGGAGTGTACCTATAAGCCACATTATACAACCCTGTGAAGCTGTCTCAAGTGTAGAGATGTACATTGAATGACTGCTGATGTAGCAGCCATACTGTTATGGTAGGAACATTGACGACAACACCCACATGCTGCCAATAATTGCTCAAACAACCGTCAGTCCAAGGCTATTGGATAAAGTCCACCATGTCATTTTCCCTTAAAAAAAATACACCACACCCTTCAAGTGCGAATAAATATTCAGCAGCATGTTCTGCTTCGACTATTGCTTCATCATGTTGAGCGAGATCAGACCGGATATGGGAGGAGGGGGGACGTTGTTGCTGATGTCAACCTGCCTCACCTCCCCTGGCTGAAAGTACAAGTCGCTATGACTGGAGGTGGTGGGGGGGGAGTTGGGTGGGAGGTGAGGGGAAGGCAAAGGAAAGCAGTGGAAGAGGTAAGGGGGGACGTTGTTGCTTATGTCGACTTGCCTCACCTCCCCAGGCTGAAAGTACAAGTCGCTGTGACTGGACGGAGGTGGGAAGGAGAGGCGAAGGAAAGGAAAGGCAACAGAAGGTGGGTGGAGGGAGAGAAATAGACAAACTTGGCGGATGGGAGAGGGAAAAGAGGGGTGTTATTGCTGATGTCTGCTTGCCTCACCTCCCCAGGCTGCAAGTACCGGTACAAGTCGTTGTGAGTGGTAAGAGGGGAGGGTTGGAAGGCAGGGGGGAGGCAAAGGGAGGGGAGGAAGGGAAAGTGGTCTACCTGTCTCACGTCACCCCTGGGCTGGCTTTTGAGACGTCTCAAAAGTCACGTCACCCCTGGGCTGGCTTTGAGACGTGTCAAAAATCACGTCACCCCTGGGCTGGAAGTAGAAACCCTGGTTGGAGGGAGCGATGGACATGAGGGAGTGATGGACATGAGGGAGCGATGGACATGAGGGAGTGATGGACATGAGGGAGTGATGGACATGAGGGAGTGATGGACATGAGGGAGCGATGGACATGAGGGAGTGATGGACATGAGGGAGTGATGGACATGAGGGAGTGATGGACATGAGGGAGTGATGGACATGAGGGAGTGATGGACATGAGGGAGTGATGGACATGAGGGAGTGATGGACATGAGGGAGTGATGGACATGAGGGAGTGATGGACATGAGGGAGTGATGGACATGAGGGAGTGGTGGACATGAGGGAGTGATGGACATGAGGGAGTGGTGGACATGAGGGAGTGATGGACATGAGGGAGTGATGGACATGAGGGAGTGATGGACATGAGGCAGCTTTGATTGTCCTCGCTCACACCGACGCACCTTGTAACGAGGTGACTTTTGAGTCAACACAGAAAAGTCACCTTGGTTTTCCTCACTCCACACTGGTGCACATCGACGTACCTTCTGAGGTCCTTGCCAATCAGAGCGGATTGCAGCACGGAGAGGCAGTCAGAGTCGGGAGAAACGATCACGACGGCGTCTCGTGACTACTGCGTATTGAGGATGGACATGAGCTGCTAACAGCAACTCGGCTCACATCCCTCCCTACCCCCAGTTCACGCACCTTCTGAGATCCTTGCCAATCAGAGCAGCTTGCAGCACGGAGAGGCAGTCAGAGTCGGGAGAAACGATCACGACGGCATCTCGTGAGTACTGCGTCTCGAGGATGGACATGAGCTGCCAACAGCACACATAGCACATCCCTGATCCTGATTCGCCTACCTGCTGAGATCTTTCCCAATCAGGGCGGTTTGCAGAACGGACAGGCAGTCAGAGTTGGGAGACACGATCATGACTGCGTGTCGAGGATGGACATGAGCTGCGTCACTCGCACGAGCATGTCTGCTAGTACCTCCAGATTGACGCACCTTCTGAGATCTTTCCCAATCAGAGCGGATTGCAGAACGGACAGGCAGTCAGATTTGGGAGACACAATCACGACTGTGTGTCGAGGATGGACATGAGCTGCGTCACCCTCACGAGCACGTCATGAGCTGCCAACAGCAACTCGGCTCACATCCCTCCCTACTCCAGTTCACGCACCTTCTGAGATCTTTGCCAATCAAAGCAGACTGCAGCACAGAGAGGCAGTCCGAGTCGGGTGAAACGATCACCACTGCATCCCTTGAATACTGTGTCTCGAGAATGGACATGAGCTGCGTCACCCTCACGAGCACGTCTGCCACGCTCTCGTGGGGGGTCCCGTCAGTGAAAGGGGGCGGGCGCCACCTGGACGACACGGAGTCTTCTAGGTACACCTGGATCAGGGGCGGGGGCGGGGGGCTGAAGATGGACATGAGCCGTGAGTGAAGGGACGGGGGCGCCATTTAAAGGACACAGAGTCATCTAGGTAGACCTGGGGATGGGGGCGTGATGCATGCGCAGAGGACTTTTTAGTCGTCTCAAAAGTCGACCTGGGGATGGGGGGGAATGATGCATGCGCAGAGGACTTTTGAGTCGTCTCAAAAGTCGACCTGGGGATGGGGGGGAATGATGGATGCGCAGAGGAGTTTTGAGTCGTCTCAAAAGTCGACCTGGGGATGGGGGGGAATGATGGATGCGCAGAGGACTTTTGAGTCGTCTCAAAAGTCGACCTGGGGATGGGGGGGAATGATGCATGCGCAGAGGGGATGTGGAATAGGAGCGGAGAGCAGGAGGAGCACGTCGGTCATGCTCTCCTGGGGTTGGGTGCCGTGAGTGAAAGGGGGCAGACGTCTCAGGGGGGAACCATCAGGATAAGGCGGAGTATTCTAGGTAGACCCGAATACGGGGCAGGGGCGGGGGGGTGTGGAACAGGAGGGGAGAGAACGAGCACGTCCACATGCCACCTGGACGACATACAACCCTCCAGGTAGATATGGGAATGAGGCAAATGGCGACGGGGGTGTGTGTGATGATGCCCCCCACTCGTCACCTATCTCCTCCCCTATCTTCCACCCAAGGGAGTGATTTTTGAGAATACTAAAAAATCTTCCACCCAAGCCCTCTCTGCAATAATCTCCTCCCCCTCCCACCCACCTCGCTCATCATCTCTAGCGGTTGTCCTTCAAACGCCCCCAGGCCTCTGGCGTCCAAAAAGCTGTACTCAGGCACGATGCGGCTGGTGGGGGGGGAAGTGAGCGGGGTTGGGGGAAGGTGCGGTGAGGGGGTTGAGAGGGAACGCCCCCAGGCCTCTGGCGTCCAAAAAGCTGTATTCGGGCACGAGGCGGCGGCACTCCCCTGACATCTTTCAGGTGAGAAGAAGGCGGAGTGGGTTGTGTGGGCTCAGTGGGTTGTGTGGGCTGAGTGGGCAAAATGGGTGGAGTGGGCTCATCAAGTGAATGAGGAGTGGAAGTTAAAGTCCTTTCTTGCCATTCACACACCACACCACACCACACCACACCACACCACACCACACCACACCACACCACACCACACCACACCACACCACACCACACCATCGTGCATCTCCCCGCCCTAACAGCCAACACACCTGTAATCGGCACCGTTGATGTAAGCAACGACCTCAGCCGTCTGATACGCCCGCTGGGAAATGGACGGCCAGATCCAGCACCCTCCCCCGCAGGCGTCCATCTTGCGCAGCTTCCTGGCAGCTTCCACCGCCTGCTTCTTCCCCTCCCCAGACAACCCGCTTTGCACATTCGTCTTGTCGACGGGGTTGGTGTGAATCACACCCAGGGCTTCCCACTCTGATTCGCCTGCTCGCACTAAGTAGTACCTGCGATCGGGTGGGGACAGCAGGAGTGGGGGGATAGGGAAGGCCCATACAACCCGCTTTGCACATTCGTCTTGTCGACGGGGTTGGTGTGAATCACACCCAGGGCTTCCCACTCCGACTCGCCTGCTCGCACTAAGTAGTACCTGGATGGAAGCACGGAGGAGTGGGAGAGAGAGTAGGAGAAAGATGGTAAAACCTTCCCAACTGTCACATTCAGCACCGTTGCACTTGACACAACCACTCGGCACAAGCACACTCAACACAATCACAATCGACAGGATCATACTCAGCACAATAACATTCGATACAATCACAATTCACACCCTTGCACTCACGTGTTTTTTAGCTCGATCGGCGGCATCTGCAGCAATCCGTTGGCCCGTGCAGTGCCAATACCGCCCAACGGTAACCCTAACCCTGACCGACGCAGGCCCACCGCTGCCACGTCAGCTCCAGATTCGGGAGCTGTCCCTGTCCAACCACCCGTTTGTTCCGCTGCTGCTCCTGACAGCTGTGCCAGCTCAGCAGACTGCTGACTCGGCAGCGTGGACTGCTGCTGAGGTGGCAGCATGGCTTCGGTGGTAAGAAGCGACGCCGCGAGCAGCGAGGGAAGGAGAATCCGCGACGCTGCTGATTGGATGTGAGACTGAAAGTCTCCAGGAAATGTCGAGGGTTTCGCGGAAATGTGGTCATCGCTAGGGTTGCTGTGGTCTTGACGGCTGGCAATGCTATCACTGCTGCTGTTACCACTACTGCTGGCTTGCACCTTGGAAGGCCTTTTCAAGGGTGCTACATTGAAACGCGGTAAGTTAGTATCGAGGCGGGTTACGGAAGAGTTGGTGTGCTGCTGTGGTCTAAGAATCGACGGTCGGGGGTAGTGAAGGATCGACGAGGCCATTCTGCAGTTTTGCGAAAGGCTGCGAAGATGGTGGTGGATTAGCGAAAACAATATTCTGATGTTTTTTCTTATGGCAAAGTATGCGAGACCCCTCAAGCCGCCTTGCGACGGAAGCAATACTAGTTTTTCTAGGTCCCAGCCTCCTGCGGCTATCCGATTTAGAACGAGAGTGACTTGTACGTGCTGCTACTCAGTTTATGTCATCCAAGTTTTGCTTATAAAAATCAAGGCATCCCGAGACGAGACATAGCTGCAGCAGAACTCCTCTGGATTAAGGGAACGTTCCTGGCCGGTGTCAGGCAGGCTGACACGAAGCTGTGAAGGGTCTCGATTCGATTGAGGATGATGTGGAGCGATCGCAGCCGTCAGTAGCCTTGTGTCAGGGAACTTGACACCGGCCAAGAACGTTCCCTAAGTACAGGGAGCCCTAGATGACGACACGAGGCACTCGTCGCTCTGATGACTCCCTCCCTGCCCCGAAAGAACATGGATTCTGCCGCGCTTCGGGCCAGCATTCACTCTCCAGACAGGTGTTCCCAAAAGTTTTGCCATCTTGCGCGCTTGCATTCATTCACCAGGCCAAAATCTAGTAGCGGCCAGAAGATTGCCTGCCCTCCACCTGTTCTCCCCAGCATTTGGGAGCAGCAGCTTTCCGATTGGGCGATCTTGCCAGAGTGGCGCATACCAGGGTTTAGAAGGACAAAACACGTGCCTACCGACGCAGAGGATTGAACTCTGGACCTTCTGTTTACAAGACAGATGCTCTACCACTGAGCTACACCGGCTTGTTTATAGATGTGGTCGTAATTTAAAATATATAAATATCATGTTCACCTCGTCACCACCAAACACACTTGTCTCGCAGAAACGTGTCAATGGGCCAGCTTGCGTTCAGTCATTCGTGTCAGGGTTGATTACCTTGGAGCGACAGGTGTTTACATTCGGCCATTCGTGTCAGAGTCTTATCTTCGAGTGACAGGTGTGCTCAAGGTCATCCAGCGCAGCAGCTGCCGCGGCCATGGCGGTCTACTCTAACCACGCGTCGCCGCGTGTCCCGACGCCAATGCAATGTGACTTTTGAGTCGACTCAAAAGTCTACTCTAACCACGCGTCGCCGCGTGTCCCGACGCCAATGCAATCTGATCCCAGAAGGACGAAATCAGAGCCAGCCGAGCCGCCGATTCCGTATCAATTACTGACTACCGAGCCGCTCTCTCAACGCAGTCGCATTGCCAGCGACTCGGTCCTCGGAATTCCAAGGAACTCGAAGATTTCCTGAGGAATCGCGAGCTCCGTATCAAGTACCATGTTAGTACCTGATGAAGTAGTAGCGAACCTGGTTAGCCTCCGTCTGCTTGCAAGGATTCTGGCATCGCCTACGCTCGACGTACGAACGCCGGCGGAGGAAGGGGAGGGGGAAGCAAGACCTGACAGGCAATATTCGGTGACATTCTGGATAAACTCGAGGGATTTTCTCTGCTAGAGCCTGCACAATTGGCCGGCTTCAAGTGGGCCTTTTGCTCGTTATCTCCTGACCGTCAATCCCGCAGCCATGGCGTCTCTTTCAGCTTTATTCACCTCCAACCCCGCCGCGATCGCCGCGATGTCCGGTTCAGGAGGAGCCACCCGCTCTTCTCGCCCCTCCCATTCGGCTGCAGCTCCTTTCCTGACGAGCTCCGTTCTCCCTCGCCGTCGTACCATCACAACCGGATCGAGCTTCCCTTCTTGGCGCGGCCTGAACACTCCGTCTAGCCTCAGGAAGCCAGGTAACCCATATCCCTCTCTGCTGAGGACCGGCAGCGAGACCAGGAGAAAGGGCTTTAACTATGGCTCCAGTTCCAGGCTGCTGCTGCTTGCTGTTGCTTCTGCTGGTGGTGATGAGGATGTTGGGAATAGGGGAGGAACAGGAGAGAGTGAAGGAATGACTGGAGAGTCAGAGGCAGGTGGGGAGTTGGAGGAGGGTGGAAGGAACGGGGAGGAGGAGGAGCATGCAGGGGAGCAGGCTGAGGAGCAGGCAGCAGCAGAGGTGCCTGTTGTTGCTTCGGATCAACCCAATCAACGGCTCACAGCGCATCTGGACTTGAGTGAGGTGAAGCGGCAGCTGCAACGGTCGAATGAACGGACAGCAGAGCACCTGAAGCACCTGAGAAATCGCCTGCATGCGTCGAACGAGTGGACTGCGAAGCACCTGAAGAAATCGAACCAACAGACCAGGGAGAACCTGAAGCACCTGAAAACTCACCTGGAAACCCACCTGCACGCGTCCAACGAGTGGACGCTTAGCCACCTGAGGAAGGGGCACCAGTGGACGTCTCAGCACCTGAGAGAATCAAATCAACGGACCATGGAGCATCTGAAGGCGTCGAATCAACGGACACGAGAGCAGCTGCAGCATCTGGTTCATGCCGAGCACCTGGAAATCAACCTGAAGCACCTGGAGGGGCACCTGGACGTGGGGGCGCTCAAAGCGAGATTGGAGGCGTCTAACACCAAAACAAAGGAGAGTTTGAAGCGGTCAGGCAGGCAGGCGTCTCACACGGTGCATGGCGTGGCTGACGTGCTCTCTGTCATCAGCGCCGCTGCTGCAGCTGCCACTGCTGGTGGTGCTTCTGAAGCTACTTCTAGCTCTGCTTCAGGCTCCGCGGCTTCTCCTCCTCCTCTTCCTCCTCCTCCTCCTCCCCGTGCTGAGTCTCCTGGTCCTGGTACTCTGAAGGGGGGTGCAGCAGGAGGTTCAGATGGTGGAGATGTCTCCAAGACTGCGAGCAGTGCGAGCAGCAGTGTGAACAACGGAAGCACTGCGGCGAAGAGCCCTCCTGCGCGCAATCCGTATCTGAGTGGCAACTTCCGTCCAGTGGGCACCGAGGTGCTGCAGGAGCTGGACTGCGCTGTGAGTTGACCGACCGACCCACCACTAGCATACACGTGCAATCGTTGTTTGAAATCATGTCGGGTTTCCGAGTCATGTCGGGTTTCCGAGTCATGTCGGGTTTCCGAGTCATGTCGGGTTTCCGAGTCATGTCGGGTTTCCGAGTCATGTCGGGTTTCCGAGTCATGTCGGGTTTCCGAGTCATGTCGGGTTTCCGAGTCATGTGACTCATGTCGGGTTTCCGAGTCATGTCGGGTTTCCGAGTCATGTCGGGTTTCCGAGTCATGTCGGGTTTCCGAGTCATGTGACTCATGTCGGGTTTCCGAGTCATGTCGGGTTTCCGAGTCATGTCGGGTTTCCGAGTCATGTCGGGTTTCCGAGTCATGTCGGGTTTCGTTGCTTGACCGACATGCTGCAGGAGCTGGACTGCGCTGTGAGTGTCCCCCTCGCCATCTCGCCATCTCGCCATCTCCTGCCATTCATATTCACCTCCTCCCTCGCCTACACTTTCTCTGCCCGCCTCTCTGCCCCCACATGTTTGAGTGTCTGTACACTGGTTGGGAATAAACCTAACTCTTTGCTCACTTGATTGCTCCATTCTCCCACCTATGCTTCCTCCCCTCCTCACTTCACCTCCTCCCTACCCTTCCCTCTCTGCCTCTCTGCCTCTCTTGTTTCTCACACCAGGTGATTGGCCAGATTCCCCAGGGTCTGCGCGGTAGGTTCATCCGCAACGGCCCCAACCCGCAGCTGCCTCCCTCCAGCCCTGCGCTCTACCACTGGTTCGATGGGGATGGCATGGTACATTCAGTGAACTTTCACCCGCCTGAGAAGAACTTTCACCCCCATGGGGAGAACCTTCACTTGGATGAAAAGAACTTTCACTCATCTCGAGTGAGCTACGGGCGGCGCTACATCCGAACGACAGGCTGGCAGGAGGAGCGGGCGGCGGGGCGGGCGCTGTTTGGAGGGTTGCAGCAGGTGGGGCTGGGAGCGAGCCATCTGCTGCTGGCTGCAATGAACATCCTCAGGCTGAGACAGCAGGACGCGCCCATGTGGAACATGGTGAGGTGTGCTTGTGATGGGTATGGTGTGCTTGTAAGGGGTATAGTTTGGTGCGGGTGGTACAGCAAGTGGGGCGGGGGGCGGGCCACCTTCTGCTGGCTGTGATGAGCATTTCCAAGCTAAAACTGGAGGTGCGTGCTTAACTGGAGGTGCGTGCTTAACTGGAGGTGCGTGCTTAACTGGAGGTGCGTGCTTAACTGGAGGTGCGTGCTTAACTGGAGGTGCGTGCTTAACTGGAGGTGCGTGCTTAACTGGAGGTGCGTGCTTAACTGGAGGTGCGTGCTTAACTGGAGGTGCGTGCTTAACTGGAGGTGCGTGCTTAACTGGAGGTGCGTGCTTAACTGGAGGTGCGTGCTTAACTGGAGGTGCGTGCTTAACTGGAGGTGCGTGCTTAACTGGAGGTGCGTGCTTAACTGGAGGTGCGTGCTTAACTGGAGGTGCGTGCTTAACTGGAGGTGCGTGCTTAACTGGAGGTGCGTGCTTAACTGGAGGTGCGTGCTTAACTGGAGGTGCGTGCTTAACTGGTGGTGCGTGCTTAACTGGAGGTGCGTGCTTAACTGGAGGTGCTTTCTTGATCCACCCATTTTTCCTGTCCCGCTTCCCCTCCCCATCTCCCCTCCATCAGACCAAGAACGTGTCCAACAACCATGTCATCCAGTATGCATGCCGGTCGCCTCTTCGCTCTTCAGTGTTCCTCTCTCCACTCCTCTCCCCCCTGCCACACCTCTCTGCCCACCTCTGTCACTTCCCCTCCCCATCTCCCCCCCATCAGACCAAGAACGTGTCCAACAACCATTTCATCCAGCATGCATGCCGGTTGCCTCTGTCCTCACTGCTGCTGTCCCTCTCCTCCATCCCCCCCTTTCTCCCCCCCCTTTTCTCCCCCCCCTTTCTCCCCCCCCTTTCTCCCCCCCCCTTTCTCCCCCCTTTCTCCCCCCTTTCTCCCCCCCTTTCTCCCCCCCTTTCTCCCCCCCTTTCTCCCCCCCTTTCTCCCCCCCTTTCTCCCCCCTTTTTCTCCCCCTTCCCCCATCAGACCAAGAACGTGTCCAACAACCATTTCATCCTGCACGCTGGTCGCCTCCTCTCCCTCTGGGAAGCAGGCCTGCCCTACTCCCTCAACCCCTCAACGCTCCACACCGAGGTACCCCACCCGTCATTTGAGACGTCTCAAAAGTCCTCTACACCAAGGTACCCCACCCGTCACTCTTCACACACTCAACATCGAGGTACCCTCTCGCCCCATCATCCTCCTCTCACCGGTCGCCTCCTCTCCCTCTGGGAAGCAGGCCTGCTCTACTGCCTCGACTTTTGAGTCGACTCAGAAGTCACCTCGCCTCCTCTCTCTCTGGGAAGCAGGCCTGCCCTACTCCCTCAACCCCTCAACGCTCCACACCAAGGTACTACCCTCCTTCGAATCAACTTAACAAACTTACCATATGAACCTTCACTGCCTCTAGAAGGCAGGCCAGTCATAACCCCTCAACCCTCGACACCCAGGTAGCACCCTCGGTTCTAGCCTCCTCTCTCAGGCTCTCTCCCCTCCTCATCTCCCGGTTCCCATAGTGCCTCTCGTTACCCCTTTCCATTGCGCCACTCTTTTCTCTCTTTTTCTCCTGATCAAGGATGTTAAGTCCGTACCTCCTATTCTTTGGTATGCTGTACCCTCCAGGTGGTATGATGTTGTCGTTTTTCTCTACAGTGCATCGCTTCCCTTTTCAAGAGAAAATGGTGAAAAGCTGTGCCTCATCGTTCATGCTGCATTTCCCTCAGGGCGTCCACTCGTTTGATGACACGTGGCGCAGCGGAATGACAGCTCACCCGAAAGTGGATCCAATCACAAACCACATGATGATCTACGGTTACAACCTGACGCACAAGGTGAGTGCTAAGTGTTTAAGAGCTTAGAGTTGAAGTGCTGAGAGTGCTGAGGATTCAAACAACTCCACATGATGAGTTACAGTTACAACGTGACACGGAAAGTAAGTTGTTTACTTGACAGTCAACACTCCACACTCTATGTAAATTTTCGTGAAAGGCATAGTCTACACTTGTACCTTCTCCTTGTGCCTTGTATAGGCACGAAAGTACACTTGTCTTCTTGTACCCACCTCCCACCCCTCTCAGCCATACCTCCGCCCTGGGGTGATTGATCCCTCGGGTTCCCTCAGATTCCGCTATGCCACTGACCTCGACTCGCCGCTGTCTGTTGCCTTTTGTTTCACTCCAGAAGCCCCCGTTGCCACTGTTTCCCTCTGTTCCTCACCTTCCCCTCCATCCACCCCTCTCAGCCATACCTTCGCTACGGGGTGGTTGATCCCTCGGGTACGTCGACTCACATGTCACCTCTCCCTCCGCTACAGGGCGGTTGACCCTTCAGCGACCTGAACACTTCACATTCACCCCATTCCCACTCTTTCTGTGCTCACCTCCCCTCCCTCCCCCCTCACAGCCCTTCCCCCCTTTACGGGGTGGTAGATCCCTCTGGTACGTCAACTCACATGTCACCTCTCCCTGCGCCCGCTTCCCGCTTCCCTCCCCCCTCCCTCCCCTCCCCTCACAGCCATACCTCCGCTACGGGGTGGTTGACCCCTCGGGCTCTCTCGTTCATGCCACTGACCTCGACCTGCCACACCCTGTCATGGTACAGAACGGTGGAGTTGTGTTCGATGTGGTATGGAATGTTATGAGTTGGTAAAACATGTCATGCCACATAGTGATTACGGTAGGGTTTGATGTGGTATGATGGTATGGCATTATGGGTGGGACCATGGATGTTATGAGGAGACTTTTGAGTTGACTCAAAAGTCGAGTCTTTTGAGTCGACTCAAAAGTCACCATGGGTGGGACCATGGATGTCATGGCACGGACTATGGTGGTGTTGGTAGGAAGCGGGTTCAGTGCGGTTTGGCATGGTATGGTGGGTTATGTCATTATCTGGTTACAGACTGCTGTAGCATCTTACAATTTTGAGTCGACTCAAAAGCATCTTTACACTCTTCCACTCGTATATTTTCTTCTGCCCCTTCAACGTTCATTTATCTTACCTCTCTCAAACTCGTCCCGCATCTTCATCCCATTCCCCCCTCACCCCTCCCCTCAGATGCATGATTTCGCCATCACACACCACTACAGCATATTCCTTGACTTCCCGCTTCGCTTCCAGCTAGACAAGGTCATTCAGTCACACGGCAAGGCCAAGCCCTTTGTTTTCGACCCTGTAAGCTACTAGCCCCCACATTTTCTAGAATTCTCAAAAGAGACTTCCCTCTTCGCTTCCAGCTGGATAGAGGCATTCAGTCAAACGGCAAGGCCAAGCCATTCATCTTCGACCTGGTAAGTTACTGCCTCTTCCCCCACTGATGAAGGCTTGTTTGGTCACGCAGCCCACCTGTTCGACTTCGACAGCTCCTTGACCTGGTAAGTTACTGCCTCTTCCCCCACTGATGGAGGCTTGTTTGGTCACGCAGCCCGCCTGTTCGACTTCGACAGCTCCTCGACCTGGTAAGTTACTGCCTCTTCCCCCACTGATGCTTTGGCGGGAATTGTCAATATCGTTCTAGAATGCACCAGGAAAAGGTTATTTGGTCACTTAGCAAGGCGTTGGTTTTTTTATTCCTGTAAGCTGCTGCCCCCCTCACTTTTGTTTTTCCTTTGAGAAGTTTTGTTGGAGTTGTTAGTTAGACAGCCTCTACCCATTTGCTGTCTTTTTCTCAATCCGGAGAGGAGGATAAGCGGGTGTGGGGGAGCGCTTCAATTCCATTCTGATTTTTGAGGCGCCTCAAAAAGCGGGTGTGGGGGAGCGCTTCAATTCCATTCTGAATGTGTAGCGTCCTCCTCATCCCTCACCTTACCTCATCCTCTGTCCGCGTTCCCCTCACTCACTCCCCCCAATCCAGTCCAAGCCATCCCGCATTGGAGTCCTCCCGCGTTTTGGTTCCAATCCAGACATTCGCTGGTTCACTGTAGACCCAGGGTGAGTTGCTGTAACAACATTTTTTTTTGGCATCCGGTTTTCAGAGTCGAAAACAAAGTGGAACCCACGCTTTGGCTCCAAGCCTAACATTCGCTGGTTCACTGTAGACCCAGGGTGAGATTTGATACACTCTGGGCTTCAGATTCATTGATTTAATCCAATCGGATTTGATTTCCTCACCAACCTCTCCGCACCTTTGCTCCCTCTCCCGTGGTGACTTTTGAGTCGACTCAAAAGTTTCCTCACCAACCTCCCTGCACTTTTGCTCCCTCTCCCGTTCCCTTGATTTTCTTCAACGATCTTCTCTTCTCTCGCTCCTCGCATTCCCTTCAAAGCTCTAGGCCAAAGTAGAGATTTTAATCTTGCGCAAACTAGAGATTTTAATCTTGCGCAAAGTAGAGATTTTAATCTTGCGCAAAGTAGAGATTTTAATCTTGCGCAAAGTAGAGATTTTAATCTTGCGCAAAGTAGAGATTTTCTTCAACGATCTTCTCTTCTCTTGCTCCTCGCATTCCCCTCTTGCTCCTGTTCCATCGCCTTTTCCCCATGTTCCATCTCCTTTTCCCCATGTTCCATCTCATTTTCCCCATGTTCCATGTCCTTTTCCCCATGTTCCATGTCCTTTTCCTTATGTTCCATGTCCTTTTCCCCATGTTCCATCTCCTTTTCCCCATGTTCCATGTCCTTTTCCCCATGTTCCATCTCCTTTTCCCCATGTTCCATCTCCTTTTCCCCATGTTCCATCTCCTTTTCCCCATGTTCCATCTCCTTCCCCCATGTTCCATCTCCTTCCCCCATGTTCCATCTCCTTCCCCCATGTTCCATCTCCTTCCCCCGTGTTCCATCTCCTTCCCCCATGTTCCATCTGCTTCCTTGCAGGTTCTGTCTTCATGTGGTAAACGCATTTGAAGAACCCTCCTCTACGGACTCTTCCTCTTACTCCTCCACCTCTCCTCCCTCTTACTCCTCTTCCTCATCACCTGCCATCATCCTACGTGTCATCCGCTTCCCCGCCTTCTCAGCGCTGGGCCTTGCTGAGCTGGCAGATGAGCTGGCGTGTGATGAGGTGGCACGGCTGCATGAGTACAGGCTGGACCTGCAATCCGGAGCAGTGGAGGAGCGCTCCTTGTGCAAGGTACTGATGGGTAAACTGTTTTGGGACATCTCACGTCTGGTTTTTCACCTCCATAAGGCAACATATGGGCAACACCGCTTGCAGCACCTCAGGAGGTGACTGCTCCACTGCTCACGAGTACAGGCTGGATCTGCAATCAGGAGCAGTGGAGGAGACCTCCTTGTGACTTTTGAGTCGACTCTCGAGTCGACTTTTGAGTCGACTCGAAAGTCACCTTGCAGTCAGGAGCAGTGGAGGAGACCTCCTTGTGCAAGGTAGAGATTGCGGGTGCTTTTTGAGGCACCTAGAGGAAATGGCTGGATCTGACATCTGAAGACATCCCCATCCCCATCCCCATCCCCATCCCCATCCCCATCCCCATCCCCATCCCCATCCCCATCTCCACTCCTCCCCTTCCACTGCCTCCTATCTTCCTTGCCCACAAATCTGCTGTAAATCTGCTGCAAATCTGCTGTAAATCTGCTGCAAATCTGCTGCAAATCTGCCAACAACCCCATCTTCGTTCAAATCCCGCCCGTCCATTGCCTCTCCTCCCTTCTCTCGCTCGCCACCTGCACAGGTCTGCTGCGACTTCCCATCCATCAACCCCAATTTCACGGGTCGCCCGCATAGATTCGCTTACTCTGCCCGATTCACAGCACAGCCCGGCCCAGGTGAGGGGTGCAGAGGAATGTTGTTGGATGGGCAGGGATGCTGGTGGGTGGACAGGGATGCTGGTGGGTGGACAGGGATGGGTTAGTAGCAGCCCGGAAATGGTGAGGGGTGGTAGCACCGTCCCCTCATTTAACTCCATTATTGTTGAGCCAAGTGTGAAGCACCACTCTGTACAAGGCACATACCGAGTGCCCCACAGGCCCCATCCATAACCACCCCCGGTTCCGTATGTCTCCACACCCCTCCTACCTTTCCCACCACCACCCAGGCACCACCGTCCCCTCCAACGCCATCATGAAGCATGAATTCCAGCTCAGCACATACCAGATGCCCAATGCCCAATGCCCAATACCCCTCCTCCCACTCCCCCTACCGCCACCAGGCACCACCGTCCCCTCATTCTACGCTATAATGAAGCATGTTTTCCAGCACAGCACATACCAGGTGCCCAATGCCCAATGCGCCCCATCCATCACCACCTCCCTTTCCATGTCTCCCACACCCCTCCTCCCACCTTTCCCATACCACCAGGCACCACCGTCCCCTCATTCAACGCCATCATGAAGCATGATTTTCAGCACGGCACATATCAGGTGCATACCCTCCCACCCGGGAGGTTCTGTGGGGAGCCTGTGTTTGCCCCGTGCCACCACTTCCAGAGCAGAAGCAGGGTGCAGAGCGGTGCAGCGTGGTCAGATGCAGCTGGAATGGGTAAAGATGTGGTGGGACTAGGTGCTGATGCGGTCGGGATGGGTGCAGAGGTGGAGGATGATGGGTGGGTGTTGGCGCATGTGTGGGATGAGGAGGAGATGCGGAGCGAAGTGATTGTGCTGGATGCAATGAATCTGGACAAGCTGCCGCTGGCACGGGTCATTCTTCCCAAGAGAGTACCATACGGCTTCCATGGGACGTTTCTTCCTGACTGA